GTCTAAGTCGCGTTTTATCCTAAATTGGGATAATTATAGTAAAAATATTATTTTTATGATTTAGTTAGAGACATATGTCAGATGGCAGTGAAGGAAACCAAAACAAAAGTATTTAAGTGTGGAGGATGTTTGAAGATCATAATTATTGAAACACTTTAACCGACTCTGTAACTCGTTACCCAAGGCAAAAATGTTAAACGCAAACAACTTTATTGATAAATATATTGTTTCTACTTTGAAAAATACTAATGGGCCTTAAAATTAAAGAAGTTTTAAAAATTTTCTTGAATTTTTTTTTTGTAAAATGAGAATAATTTATTCGCTGTCGAAAAAATTGTTTCCGCGTGTTTTTTAGGGTCAAATATTTCAAGTTAATGTATTCAAAATGCAGGAATTGCTATTTTAGGAACGAAACATTTTCTCATTTAACAACATGGCGGCTTTCACTTTGTTGTTTTGGAGATTAAGATGGAGTAGTTCGAGTAGTCGCATACTGGACTAATAAAGTCGCAGTTCGGCCTTAACACGTAGTATGCTAGTCGCAAGATTGCCTAATTTAGTCATCCTAGAGTCTAGCTTGTGCCGCCCTCTATAATCTAAATAAACGAGGGTGTGGATAAACTATCGGTAATATATGTCGATGTATATTTAAATTTAGTTTTATATGTATCTTTCTTATGTCCCATTTCAATTAAGTTTTTTTTATAAAAACAAAAACAGCACTGAACTGTCTGACTGAACAGAATAATGAAGTGAAAATTTAAGATTTAAGGTTATGGTTCAATACAGTTGCTAAAAGGTAGTGACTCGACGTCCTACCAACGTAAGAATAAGGAAATCTAAACAACGTTGGAATTAGTAAAACAGACGACGTTTGCATAACGTTGGAATAGGTCCTGAAACTGACGTCGGAAAACTCTATATTGTCCGAATCACCTAAAGATCACTTAAGTAAAAAAGGTTACAAGACAACGTTTATTCGACGTCGCAGAAGCTTCTACTTTGCTGTAGTACTAGTCCAACGTCGGCACAACGTTATAAAAACGTTTAAATTTATTTTAATACCCAAGGTAGGGAGCTAACTATTTTTTGTAACTAATCCAACGTTGTGTATAGTAAACATGTGGTCGCGAGTCGTGAAAATGCTACTTGGGTATGGAGTTAAATAATATATTATGTTCCTACACAGTATTTTATTTATAGGTTTTAATGCTTTAAAGTCTAATAATAAATTTTCGTTGTCAACAAAATAATCTTAAAAAACTACAAAGATTTCTTATTATAAACTTGAAAGATTAAGATTCGGTTCAAATATACAAATTTTAAATTTTTCGCGCCAGTATATAGGTATGAATGCAACCTACTATATCGATAATGCGCTTATAGTTCGGGTTAGACGCCAAAGGCCGCGCCACTAACACAGTCTTCGAAAATTAACGTTGATCGGTCTCTCTCACTTTAGTTATTAGTGTTCTCTCTGGTATTTACTAAAGGTTGTCAGTCTAAGTTATTCTATTGTAAAGGGCGAGTGTGGTGAGGAAGAATGTTGGTGTAAGTTAGAACAAATAAAACTTTTAAGAATATTGGATCACCTCAATATTCAAGCTGATCCACATATCTTAAAATTACAATTTACTTTTTTAGTATATTCATTAAAAGATATAGAAAATAACGACATAATATTATAACCTTCTATTTACAACCCTTACCTTATTGGTGCAAGTTTTTTTTAATAAAGTTTTTCATCGTGGAGAAAATAAAGTATGCCCGAATTTTCTTCAGTGGGAGTTACTTGATTTTTGAATCCCGCTACTTCAAGCATATCAAAACGTTTAATAAGTTCATAGTCACTAGGTTTCTTAATATCTTTTTCTCTTGCATGCTTAACTTTTGCTATGACTTCATTATATTGTAAAAACGAAAAACAAGCACTATTATATTCTTTCGAGTGCCTAGTTTACCTTAATTTTCCCCAGAAAATTTCTTCCATAGGAAAAATACCGCACAGCACTTTTTACAACGATAACAAAGGAATTATACATAACCACAAACAAAGCGAATTTACGCCAGATGTCTGTCAACGTTGCCAACATTTAGTCCAATTTAATGTTATCCTTATATTGCCTATTATTCAACTTATCCTTTTTAATCCTTATATTTAACAACATTGGTGGTAACCGCGCTAACTGAATCTTTCAAACTCACTGCTATTGTCCAGGGAATGCTAGCATTCGCTAGTAAAAGTTGGATTCAAAAATAGCTGTTGAACTTTTGCCGTAGTCTTAGCAAATCAATGTGAACTTTTACTAGTAATTATTGTTAACAATCACTGATTTCCAACTTTTACTGTAACATGTAGGTATACTCTGTTTTTTTTCTCAGGTAAGATTTCGACAGACGATGACAGAAGAACAGCAGATGACGTCCCATACCAATTTATTTTATTTATTTTATTAAAAAAGTTTCTAATAATTTTTAAGTTATCTATGGATGAGTTTAAATATAAATCCGTCATGCTTCGTGTCTTGTTGTTTTTAACCAGTTTTATTGGTTTATTTAAAAAATGACAGACCGTATTTCATTTTTATTGGTTTGACGGAACGATGAACGACAAACGGACACCAATGCGTATGAACTCGCCTTTAGATTGTAGTCATTTTTGACGCTTGTCAAAGTCTTGCCAAATTATAGGTTATAATTTTCTGTCAACTTTTGTTTAATACCTTACGCAATACCCTGCGTTTTGGAAGATGATGCATTTTGATTCGTATTATTACGTGTGTTTTGTGTCTTTTGAAGTCAAGTGGAGGAAAAATCGAGTGAAAATTAACTGTAGACCCAGAGCACAGTTTATGGTTAATACTCGCTGCCCAGGCAGAAAGTCTTATACACCAATAAAGTTGCCATCGATAAAGTTTGTATACCATTTCGTCGTAGATAAGTGCATCTCGTATATGGTAGAAGGATCAAACTAAACACATACTAAAAACTGGAGTAGCTGTAAAATATCGACATCACACGATAGGTAAATAATGGATTTTAGTACTGCAGAAAAATAATGTCAAAAGGTACTGGTTTAAAAAAATTAAGATAAGTAATAATTAATAAGTTAATTAATCAACTTTTAAGGTATAAAATTTGGTAGGTGTTATTATTAATAAAATAGTTTGTTTTATTTACCTATGTTGTTTTATTTATTCCTGTGGAATATTACAAATTTGTATTTGTACAAAAGTTATATTGATAAATATAATCATAAATGCGGGTAGTTTCATAAAGCTTGAAAGTAAATAATAGTTCTTTTTTATATTTTTTTGGTATGTAGTGTCTTGTTCTTGTTTGTTTTGTATTAACACATACCGTTTTTATTAAATAAAATAACTCGATTACATTTTTTCAGTTTTATACAGTTTTTTTCACAATATTTTGAAGTAATCACTTGTCATCTTGTCAATCAAATTTTAAATATATCCTCCTATGCGTTCCAGTTGTACCAACTTATTTCTTTGTAAAATAAAATAAACTACTATGAAATTAAAACGACAGACACATCTATCACTGTCAAGGATCTTCTCGTTGGACAGACTATATATCAGCCAGGGATAGTTAAGGATATTGATTGTGAAACATAATATTTTTAAATAAAAGAAAAAAAAAACAAACGCAATGCTAGATGTGATTAGCTTTGATATTTATTAGCACAAGCAATAAAAATTACTCTAAATAGAAACTAGTTACACTTACTGACAGGTTGCCTCGGTGATTTTGCTTCCATCGGTACAATGAAAAAACTTCCCGTTGAACAGTTGAACGGCAATGACGGCGAAGATGAATTGAAACAAAATATACACTATAAGAATGTTTATCACGTTTTTTAGAGAGTTCACGAGACAGTCGAACACTGCTTTCAGTTTGGGCACTCGCTTGATGGTCTTGAGCGGTCGAAGTACGCGAAGAACTCGCAGCGACTTGATTGTTGACAAGTTGGCCCCTGCGGCACCTCCACCGCCCCTAAAACAGAAATAAGGAAAACACATTATTACTTTTATAATTAAAATTTATAATACATATTTTTGTTATGATTTATAAATACCAGGTATATAATAATAGTACGTGTATGTAGAGAGAGACGACTCGTGATATGAATAAGTCGTTTTTTTGATGAATTATTGATCTAAAATATAGTTCTAAATAATGCGTGTACAGGGTGGGTCAAATTCGACGCTTTTAAATGGAAACACCTTTTTCTATAGGACATAGACAAAAACTAATATCGGTGTCTGGAGCTCAATTTTTGTCAAAAACATGATGGTGAAAACCGCATATCGATATCTCTTACCGTTTCGGAGTTACGGGGTGTTTTTCAAAAATATGCATTTTAACAAATCGCTGTAACTTTTTGCTATGGAAAATTTTGTATTTTTATGTAAACATTTCCAAAGCACCTTTTTATGTAGAATTTAATGGTTTAAGTATAATTTTTTTAAAATTAATAATTTAAGAATTATCAACAGAAAATTTGATTTTTTATATGGGACACCCTCTATATTTTTAATTTATTGAAAAAAATTTAAAATTACCTTTCCAAAAATATAACACACTTGATATTTTTCTCGATTCCTCTTCGAGATATAGAGTATATAAAAATTCGCCTGCTTTAAATAAGTAGGCTTTGAACGGCACCGAGACTGTAATGCAAAAAAATTCTAGTTGTGAGCATCAATTAAAACGAAAATAATATTTGCTATGAGAGATGCAGAATTTTATAACAATTTAAAATATATTTACCCAACATCAACACATTTAAACTATATCTAATAACAATAAAAATAAATAGCGAACCAAGACATGAGATTTTGCTACAGGTGTTCGACATATGGACCGTCTTATGTTATAGACAGACGGGGCAGATTTTGAACATTTTTCGCGGAATTCATTAACTCAGTGGGGGTGAAAGATACCCTCTCATAACTGCTAAGTTTTTCTAATTCTTGTATAGATTATACAGAATAATAAGGAACCTTTATTCTTCCGCAAAAATATCCATAGGATTAGATCCATGGGCACTAAGTCAGGCGGCCTCGACGGCCAACAGCTGGGATCTTGGTTAGCTATTCAATTGTTCTTGAAATTGGCTGCAAAAATTTGCTGATAACTTCAGCGTTCAGAGGCGGTGCGTCGCGTCGTCTTGCTAGAAAAATATGTTTTCGAGTTCCATTAGGGGCACATCATCAATAAGGGGTCCAAAGCCTACTAGTTAAAAGTACCGAACTTTTAAAAATTCTGTAATTCGAAGGGGATTATAACAAAATATCAAGTGTGCTATATTTTTGGAAAGGTAATTTTAAATTCTTTTCAGTTAATTGAAAATATAGAGGGTGTCCCAAATAAAATATCAATTTTTCTGTTGATAACTCTTAAATTATTAATTTAAAAAAAATTATACTTAAACCATTAAATTCTACGTAAAAAGGTGCTTTGGAAATGTTTTCATAGAAACACAAAATTTTCCATAGCAAAAAAGTTACAGCGATTTGTTAAAAATGCACATTTTTGAAAAACACCCCGTAACTCCGAAACGGTAACAGATATTGATGTGCGGTTTTCACCAGCATGTTTTTGATGAAAATTGAGCTCCAGACACCGATATTAGTTTTTGTCTATGTCCTACGTTTTATATGTAAAATTAAATAGAAATATACATATGTCCAAAATTATTACATATGAATGTTTGGTACAATCAAAAGTCGGTTTAGGATGTATAAATTTACAAAGTTAATCATGATTTAATTTAGACCGCGCGAAAAACTATTATTATTGTTTATAGACTTTTATTTTTTATTTTATAATCCACACGTCAAGAATTTTTAAATCCTAAAACAGCCTCTACACTATGCGGAGAAATCTTCGAAACAGGTCAAGGTCTCATTTCGTCGCCTAACTTTGTCGCATTTCGATTTATTTCCAGTTCTCTAGATCCACTTCGGTTTGCCACGACCTACTTTCGATTCCTAAAAGCGCCTGAAAACTACTCGTGAGGATGGCGTGGGAGGATTTTTTTGGCGTTTCTTTGCCTCGTTCAATTTTGTTTCGTTTTGAGCTATTTCCTGAACGTGGCGGTATCTGTACCCGAGGCAAAGGATTTTTTTTTTCATAAATCTCAGTGAAATAAGTAAACCTAGACGTTTCTAAAATATCTGTTGTTACGATGATATTTCGTTAATTGCATCTCGTTTTATGTTGATATATTCCACAAAATTATAATTTGAACACGCGTTTATAATATGTAGCATAAACATTTAAGAACAAAACGTTTCACTCAATCTGCAGGCATATAATTAGAATATGTTTATTATAATTGAATTAGAATATAAAATTGTATATGTAATATTTGTTAAAAAATTAATTAAAATTTCCGAACAATTTACTCCACACAAACTTACAAGCAAAATTATAACGCACACGTATTCGAATTCGTAAAAAATAACCAAGACAGAAGCCTCAGCTGGACGCCGGACCGTCAAATCTCGGTTGCAACACATTTGAATTACTGCGCACGAGCGTGATCGTTCGGTGACGGTTCTGCGGCGGGTTGGAACAAACCTGTAGTAGCAATAAATGTGGTTTTCTAATATTTATTTGAAATAGATAAAATATCCGTGTTGATAACGCTCTTAGTGAAATCGACCATGGAAGCAGCATTTTTAGTAGCACTTAGTTGGCTACCAAGTACGACCAAGTTATTACCACCTAGCGGCGAGGCGATGAAGGTACACCACACGGTATAAAGTCGCATTGGTTAATATTTCTTCTTCCATACAATTGACAATTATAATTAATTACATCACGATATAAGGAATTATTTTTTACAATTATTCTATACTCACATAAAGTCGAACCCCATCGACACCAGCGCACAAACTACAACCACGGCATCCATGATATTCCAGAACTCCCGCAAGTACGACCCCGGGTGAAGAATCACTCCCAGATCGATCACTTTGAGGAACATTTCGACCGCGAACACGCCGGTGAAGGCGTAATCGAACTTATCCAGAATGTTGTTCCTGAACGAGTGCTCGTTGACCGGATCTTCGGCAGCTAGAGCCGCGGAACTCATGCAGATCACCACCATGATGAAGAAATCGAAGTAACGCAGGTTCACAACCCAGTGAGCACCACGACGAATTCTGAAAATATAAAATGTGATCCGTTAGTACCATACGGTAATGAAAATCGCTGATAATTTTGGCAAGGTCAAACTCAAGACGTCATGACTTGGCCCGTACTCTACTTCGTTTTTTAATGGCGCTTACTGCCAATTGGGCTTAAGAAGGGTTTAATTTATTTTTATATTAAGTAAAAATTATTTTTAAATGGTGTGGTTTGGTTGTGTTAAAATTGGAAAAAAAAATATTTTTTTGGAATACACTCAACGGGCACCTTAAAATTTTCATGTATTTTAAAGTTTCATACAGTGTGTTCTAGTGGACCGATTTTGATGATTTTTTGAGCAATTTATAGCTAAATTATTTAACTTTTTAGAATGTCTTTCTAAACTAAAAATGAAAGTTTCAATCAGTCAATTATACAAGGGAAATCAAAATGTTGATATTTTGGTGAAAGTTGGGAACACCCTGTGGAATACGTTAACAAAGCAAGGAATTTAAAAATTCATCTAGGTGTATCTTTTCTCGATAGTTTGTTTTTCGATTTATCTCAATAGCTGTATTTCTTTTGGAGATATTCGCTTTTGAAGACGACTCTAATATTTTTTCGTATTTTTTATGTTAAAGCCATGCCTTTAGTTTTGGTCCTAGTCAACAGAACTGTAAAATAATGTTTATGATTTATGTAATTTCACCATCTTTAAAAAATCATATTATTATTGTTTGTTGTGCAGTTAGTCTACCAGATATGATTTTAAGTCCAAAAGTTGATCTCTACGATGACCATTTAAAGCAGCAATAGCCGATACTTCGGTACTTAAAACTATCTCTACTAGAGTAAACGTCAACAAACAATGATAATATGACTTTTCAATGACAGTGACATTACAAAAACAGTAAACAGTATATTGCAGTATATTATAAGTGTGTTCATGACGACCCAAAATCTATGCTAAAATTGCTCTAAATCGTTACTGTCTTATTTAAAAGCGAATGTCTCCAATAAAAAAAATTATAAGATAAATAAAAAAACTATCCAGAAAAGACTGTACCTAGATGATAAAATGATTTTTAAATTCCTTGCATTGCTAACAAATTCCACAGGCTGTCTCAAACTTTCACCAAAATATCAACATTTTGTTTTCCCTCGTATAATTGACAGATAGGAATTTTTATTTTTAATTGAGAAAGAGACACTAAAAAAGCCAAATAATTTACCTACAAATTGCTTGAAAAATCATCAAAATCGGTCCAAATTTTAAAACACATAAAAATTTTAAGGTGCCCGTTTTTTGTGCCGGTGATTGTATATTTATGTATCTGAAAACGTTCTAGCCCTTTTTTAATATTTCCATAATTAATTTTAATTTTTGACAGGTTTTAAGTCAATTTTTAGCAAATGTCGTATAGAAAATGACGCTTAATTCTTGAAATCTCCCTTAATTTACCATTGAATGTCATTTCCAGCCGCCTTTGAGGCTGTTTTTTTTCATCATAAGGTACTACGTGTCAACAGTAAACAAAAAAGAGAACTGATTCCAATTCGAATAGATTCATGAAATATTTTTACAATAAAATGTCTGAAATCTGAAATGTTTTCTTAACTAGATACTGGGTGTTTTTTAAAAGTGGCTCACCCTATAACTTTTTTTTCAGACGAAAGAAACGAGATTTGGTATGCTAGTATATGACTTAAATCAAAATTGATTAACGTATTTAATTCTTTTCGGTCACTTCCTGTTTCACCGGAAATAACTAAAACTTTTGTTAAATAAACATTAATAATATAAAGTACATTCATTTCTATTTTTTGGAGTTTCAGATAATAAAATTGGTTTTAGTCAAGTAATGAAGTGGTGACACTTACGGATTTGTAGACGAAAGAATAAACATGCTAGAGTATGGCAGCATAGGTTTGGGTCCCACTATTTCTTCCTCTTCTTCTGGAGGTTTCTCTTCTTTCTTTTTTCTTCTGCTGGTAGGCGGACTTGGCGAACTAACTTCCACTCTGGGATTGCTCCCGTGTTCCATTTGGAGCGCTTCCATTTCTTTTTCTAACTCTAGTGCTTGCTTCTCCTATAATAATTTGTTTTGTGAATTTTATAATAGAAAAATAACATTTAAAATATGTATATTGTAGGAATAGAACTGTGATGTGTATGCTTTAAATTTGAAGAATTAAGTTATTTTTAACTCTTTATAGGTTGCTAGTCGCTAAATCGACCACTTTAATTTAATCAACTAATCAGTCATGTGAAAGTGTATTATCGCCCAGTTTGCTTGCTATGCTTATTTGTATGCGCGTCTTGGCCATTTAATCAACCATATATATACGCTGGCTGAATTGGCGCAAAAAGTTAACGTAAGCGGTTGAATATTCGACCAGTGAGCATTGGCGACGCTGTGTATCATATAAGTAATAATTGTCGTCTAAGCATTTTCTATGCAAATTTTGTGCGATAAAAATTTAAAAATATAGAAACAAATGTATCTGTGACGTTTATTTCTTTTTATTTAGTGCACCAAATTTATGGCTCGGATGATATTTTCTAAAATCGTTAACATATCCTGTATATTTTCAATCATTTCTCATAGGATGCGAGTTTCTCGAAAAACAAAATTTGATTTACTTGATATGGGCATATTTTTGAGTAGAGAGATAACAGGGATAATCAAAACGAACTTACTCTTTTTTCTTACATTGGATGATACATACAGTTTATATTTTAAGCAGACAGTAGTATCGACTGACTAGTGAGAAAAAAAATCTAGGAACTAGTGGGGTTGCAGTCGGTTTGATTTTTTTGGTTGCAGTCGGCAACCCCACTAGTTCCTAGATTTTCTTGGTTTATATATTATATACATTAGATATTTACATATTATCTAATTCCTAGTCTCTAGTTGAAAAATCAAAACCCCCCACTCTCTTATTTGTTAATTTTTTGAGCAATGATATTAAGAAGATATGCTTCCTTTGTGCTAGTTTATACATTTTTTTAATCAATTTGATCAAATTAGAAAATAATTATTAGCACTGCCCTATAAAGGGTTAAGCTTTACTCTTGGTTTTATATTATAGGTTTAAAAAAGGTAAAGTTATTTTAATTGAGCTTATTTATAACAAGACAGACGTTCATTTTCACAACTTATTATTATATTGATTTCTGAGTCAAATCCACATTTATTTAGAATAATTTATTAATTAAAACAATTAAGTATGTAATTAACTAATTACATACTTAATTGTAATTCGGCCATTATTTAAAGCTTCGGCAAGAAAGAACACCAAGTTAATTAAAATAGTTTATACATTTTTTTAATCAATTTGATCAAATTAGAAAATAATTATTAGTACTGCTCTATAAAGAGTTAAGCTTTATTTTTGGTTTTCTATTATTGGTTTGAAAAAGGTAAAGTTATTTTAATATGTATGTACAGAGTGTTTCGAACTTAGTGTCTTCGGGTAATACCAGAAACAAAGAAAATTTAATTGCAATTTTAATAAATGGGATACAAAGGGACTGGTTAAGGTAAAAATATGGCAAGTAAAATATGACCTGCCTCTCAACTGATTTATAAAAAACTGACATAATTTTTGCCTAAGCCGATAATCTCTTACAAAAGTTTTTGAACGCGTGTGTATTAATATAGTTTTAATTGCTCAAAACAAATCCTGTGTACAGTGAAGAAATATTTCCCATTTTGCTAGAAATTATTCTAGTTCACGTAGTTCGGTCACATTCTACTGCATTAAGAACTGCTTCTTCAACTCCATATAAGAGTTTGTCGGTATCTTTGACGTCTAGAAGTATATTTTAAATGATTTAAATTTTCGGTTTCCCTTAAACATCTGCAGATATGTTCATAACTTTTTTTTTTAAATTGTCATTTCCACATAACTAATGTTCACGTAGTTCGGTCATATTCTACTGCATTAAGAACTGCTTCTTCAACTCTAAGAGTTTGTCGGTATCTTTGACGTCTAGTATTATATTTTAAATGATTTAAATTTTCGGTTTCCCTTAAACATCTGCAGATACGCCCATAACTTTTTTTTTAAATTGTCATTTCCACATAACTAATATCATATCGGTTCATTCAGCAAAGGTACGATTAAAAAAAACGACAAAATAAAAAACAAACTTTTAAAACTGAGAACCAACAGAACATTAAAAACTTTCCTATTAGACTTAGATTAAGGCAGATTAATAAAATTGACTTTATATCATCAAGGAAATCGAAATCTACAAAATATCAAGAGATTTTTGTAGATTTTAATCGATATTAAACGGCCTATACAAAAGTGGCGCACATATTTTTTTTACAGAGTATTCCTGTTATAACATATAAATGTCCCTGGTGGATCTGCCTATAGCTACGAAATATAGCATAATCGGAACTATGCTGATATAAAAAATAAATCTTATTTTTACGTGAGGAATATCCTCACTAGAGATGATACATGTTTTCTGTAATACCTTGTACAAGTATTGTAAACATTACCTTGTTTTCTTCTGCTTGTTCTTCTTCGGCGGCAGTGAGTTCTTGGGCATTGGCCAAATTGTCAACGGCGATGGCCAAGAAGACGTTCAGAAGCGTATAGTTACCGAACAACATAAGAATGATAAAGTATAAAGAATAAACCATGCCTCCACTGTTTGGCCCGCCTAGAGCGTTGATGCCGTTGTACATCACTTCGTTCCAGTCTTCTCCAGTCAGTATCTATAGAAAATTTTAAATTCATGTTATTAATAGTTGTGTGTAACGGTTAGCAACCCAATGGAGCAATAAGTACCTATTTTGAGTTCATAAAGTTTAGTTCCAAATATTTTATAGATTTTTGAGCAACTTTTCTTAAACTTCTTTACGTATTCACCAACAGTTCAACGAATTTTTTTAGAGTCTACAATATTAACTATAGCTGAGTCTCTGTTAGCCAAGTGTCGGTTATCCAAGTTCCGCTTTATTGTCATTGTAATTCGTTTTGACGCTTTCGTTTTGTATTACGAGTTTTGTGTTTAAATAAATAGTGTTGTGATACTTTAAGCTTGAAAATGTTTACAGTCGAACATTGTTCTTTTTAGAACCTTCTTTTAGTGCGAAGTGTTCAAGATAGCTTAATAGCCGTAAAAATCTCATTGCAACTTTATTAGAATATTTTGAACGAGAAAGTGGTAGTAATGGCCCTTTATGCCCTTAAATGCCGTTAAGAAGGTGAGTTTTGGTGATGTAAATAATAACTGTTTATATATTTATAATTAATCAATTTTTGTTTTCTAAAATATTTTGATTAAAATAAAATACATAAAAGTGGACAACGCTCTGCCGGTCAAGCTTAATCACGCCACTAAAAGGTTATTTGGTATGAACTGTATAAAGTCTGTATGATGAAAATATATTTTCCATTATTTATGCACAATGCACAATGTTTTGTTTTATTTAAATATTAATAACTCTGGAATGGATGATCAGAATCCAACAAGCGAGGGCTCGTTTAAAAGAGCGTTTCTTGCCCTATATTATTCCATATAAACAATAATAATAAGCTTTTGAACGTAGACGCGAGGGGGCGTTGTCTTACAATTTAACAAACATTGCGCGTTTTTTTCCAAAAAATGAAATGCAATATATGTGTAATTTTAACTGATCATAAAGACTAGTAAAAGCTTAAAAAGTCAGCGAAAACCGCACCTTGATATCTTCTTTCAAACCGAAGATATTACCAAATTATAATAAATACCAAAAAATAAGCCTTTAATTACCTTATTTTTACAATACGGTATCAGTAGCCCTCCTGATTTTGCCCTTTCTAACAAAAAATAAGATAGAAACAGTTAGTTTATTTTAAAATCGATGAAATACCAGAATACCATAATACCAGAGGTTGTGTATATCTAACAATTAAGATATTAATAACTGTGGACAAGAAACGATGATTCAATGAAGTCATGGTAGACTTTGGAAACAAGTTGCTTTTGACGTAAAAGTATAAACGTCAAATTGTTATTAGATCAACATTTTGATACCCTTAGCAGCGTTTTTTATTGCCTTTATTATTTGAAGTAGTTGAAGTTTTTGGCATTTTGAAAAAGCAATCAAAAGATAAAAAACGCTGCTATGACTATCAAAATGTTGATCTAATAACTATTATTATATTATTGACATTTATACTATTACGTCAAAAGCAACTTTTTTTCCAAAGCCTACCATGACTTCACTGAATCATCGTTTCTTGTCCACTGTTATTAATATCTTAATTATTAGATATTAATACCTCTGGTATTATGGTATTCTTGTACTTCGTCGATTTTAAAATAAACTAACTGTTTCTATCTTATTTTTTGTTAGAATGATCGGTATAATCAAGAGGGCTACTGATACCGTCTTATAAAAATAAGGTAATTAAAGGCTTATTTTTTGGTATTTATTATAATTTTGCTAATATCTTCGGTTTGAAAGAAGATATCAAGATGCCGTTTTTGCTGACTTTTTAAGCTTTTACTACTATACTCTTTATGATCAGCTAAAATTACATATATGTTACATTTAATTTTTTTGAAAAAACGCGCAATGTTTGTTAAATTGTAAGACAACGCCCCCTAGCGTCTACGTTCAAAAGCTTATTATTATTGTTTATATTGTATAATATAGAGCATGAACGCTCTTTTAAACGAGCCCTCGCTTGTTGAATTCCGATCATCCAGTCCAGAGTTATTAATATTTATAAAAAACAGATCTAACCTTCTCCCACCACTTTATTTTGGTAGATGGGGAAAAATGGCTTTAACAAAAAATAATCAAAATTTACTGAAGATTATGAAGCGTGTAGTATGAATAGTACACCTTATCTAGACAAAATTGTGTAAAACTCCATTTTCTTATTTTTTGTTGCAGTTGCGCCCCCTAGCGGTCGTTCTACAAACTTAAAAATAATTTCCAGCAATTTCTCATAGCCTCTTTAATTATAAATATTTTTTTCCGCAGCCCCTACGGCTAATACTTTCCGAGATACAGCCGCGAGCTATTCTTAGTGGGACACCCTGTACAATTAATATTATCCTGCTTTATTGACTTTATTTTTATTGCACTGTACATCGAAATATAAACTATTAAATATGATTTTACATGTTTGCATTAAGTATATTTCTATTATTTAGCTATTTCGTATTAAATATATTTATGTATTACATTCGTTATAAACCTCTTGTCTATGGCTTATGATAGTTATGAATTAACCCTAGCTTGAGCACTGTAACTAACATAAGGAATACCCTCAAAACATAATAATATATTACTCGTGGCCTGTTATTAACAACCGAAAATGGACAGTGTGGTCACAAAAAGTCACCAACTTCTAGGTAAGTGTAAAAGGATACTTGATATGAAATATCTGACCAACAAATTGATAAAAAAAATTAATCAAATTATTGGTACAAAACTGACAATTATGAAGAATAATGAAGTATAATTGCTCCACAGGGCTTTTAGCACAAGTTCAGTTTTTTTGGAACTGTTAATTTACATATGTTTCTATGTTTAAATTAATATATCTCCAGGTGTAACCTCTTAAAATCTGTTTTACTTCCTTTTCGTCATATTCTTCCTCCCTTTAACCAAAAGTGCCTAACAATTTGCTTATATTAAAACCACCTATGTTTCGTGCTTTTTATATCACATGAAATTTCAAACATAACTTATGTATAATTTTCTAATATACATTAAAATATATTTATATCTATATCTGGTATATACCAGGAGATCTTACCTGAAATACAGTTAACAGTGCAATGGGAAACGTGTTGAAGTTTGCTGGAGGGGTACCACCGTCAAAATTAAATTGTCCTCCAAAAAGTTGCATCCCCAGAAGGGCGAATATCAGAATGAACAAGAACAGAAGGAACAACAGAGAAATGATAGATCTCATGGAATTGAGTAACGATATAACCAAATTTCGAAGAGATGACCAGTATTTTGTGACCTAAAAATAAAAAAAAGAATGTTCATTTCATAAAATAAAAGAATATATTTAGTGCATCTTAGATTAGTGTGTCTTAGACAATAATATACAATTCTTGTAATTCAAAACAATAAATATAAAGAATGTTATAAAACCCGTTTGATAAAACGTAGGTAAAACAAAAGTCAAAAGCAACAAAAACACATTACATTAATATTTTGGTTATATCTATTGGTCATATTTTACATTGAAATAATATTGTATTATGGGAAAAAAGACGTCCAATCGGCTTGGAAATGACGATCGATGACATTCAACATATAATTTTACATTTAAAATGACAGCGATTTTCATTGTGTAGTTATTGCTAACGCCATTTTGTTTTATCATATTGTAATTCTTCTCAACATAATCTAAACAAAGAATATTTTGATTTTTAGTAAATTAAAATTGTATTATAATTATTATTTGAACTTTATTTAACTTTTCTATATCCAGATGCTTTTTGTAGATACTTACATTTGATAATCACTTAAAAACTCAAATGGGATAAAAATTATTCGTATTCTTAAAATAGTATTTTCGATTTGGTTTTGCCTGCACTCCTGCCAGATTATATTTATTTAAAAATATACCAATTTTGACTGCTTTAATGGAATATCAACAATTAAATAATATGAATTATACAAATATTTTTCTAATTTTTACTTCTCTCCCAAGTAGCATTTTTAGACACAAAATCCAAAGAAAATCTCTGCTGAGAAATATTGCGACACAGTTTCGAAACAATGATGGTGTTTTTTTGGTCAAGACAGAAAACTGGAATTAATTCGACACTTTTTTGATATGTATGTTTCGTAACATAAATCGCTTTTTGTTTCCAAGCATTTTACTAAAATATGGTTTCGCTACATAAGCTATAAAAATAATGATTTTAGTTTCACAAATTTTTTGAAACTTTTAAGAAACAGATAGCGTTTTTAACTAAACATATATGTTTTTATTGGTTGTTGAGCTTTTAAACTCACAAGAGCGCGTTCTATTTACATTGAATTATATATTTTTATTTTCAGAACCATGATATAGAAATAAAAATAAAAATCAATATTTTAAACAAAAATATTCTGCAGCAACAAATGATGATATTTAGAAGGAGCATTGAAAATATGAAAGTACAGCTGGTTCCATAAAAAATGAATACGACTCTTTACACATTTTTTAGAATATTTGGGCAGTGTATATTTATGTGTTAAGTATTTTGACATGTTAAGGTTATTCTGACATTGTATAAAACAACTTTGCTTTTGACAAAGTCGCAAATAATTTTTTCGGAACGTCAGTATGACATGAGTAGAGAAATGGGGGACTGGTATCATAGAATATACTGCCCGAAATAATAAAAATATGTTTTAAATCGTATTCAATTTTATTGGAACCAGCTGTACATTATTAAATTAAACGATGAATTGCTTTTGCCAGACATTTTTTGTACGAGAAAACCTAAAAACAAAGATTTTATGACAAATAAATATGGCGGAGGTCGACATATACAACAATATTTACTAAAGTGTGAAGCAAAGATATTGATTGAATGTTATATATATATAAACTAACTTAACTTACCTTAAATATCCTAAGTAATCTTAAAGCTCTGAGTACTGACAAGCCGAAAGAGCCTCCTTTGACTGCGCTCCAAATTACCTCAAAAATAGACCCAGAAATAACTACGCAATCGAAGCGATTGAAGGCCGATTCGAAGTATATCCTGGGTCCTAGCGCGTACATCTTGATGAACATTTCCGACATGAAGAGTCCCAGGAACACATATTCGGCATAGTCTGCAAAAATAATGTATATTATAAATGATTTTATATCTTTTAAATCATAAACTTTTACTTCTGTTTTGCAATCCCTAACCTACTATTTAATTTTAACACAATATTTTACAAACTACACTCATGTGATTAAAAGTGTAATGCTGATTTTCAAAAATATGAGTGTAGTGTAGGTATTAGTAATTATTTCTCTCAGATCAACATTTTATGATTTGTTTAAAAAAAATACTTTAATAATAATAATTATCACCTTTTAAAAAAGTAATAATTATATACATAATTATTCAAGCAAAAATTAATAAAAATGAACATGGATTTATTATCATTAAAAACTACAATGTGCATTCAAGGTAATTTAATTTAATAAACTTGCATAATAGGTACTGTTTTGTCTTAAGTCATATCTAATTAATCAAAGAGACTTGTTTGAAAACATTTATAGGCTTGGCGCATTTCAGTCGATTTAAAATTCAAATCAGCAGTCAAATTCCGACCGCAGCGCTTCAACGGCAGAAATCAGAAATTATCAGTATGTTATTTCACTCCGCCGCGCCGTCTCGGTTACTGTTCCTATTGATCGCATTGAAATAATATTTAAATCGTGGCTTTGTCATCATATTTAAGTATTTTAGTTTTTTGCTAGTGCAGTTATTCAGACTATATAAAATACTCAGTTTCAAAGTTTGTAGGATGTACCGCTGTTTCGGGTAGTAAAAAATAAGTGAAAAAGAATTCGAACTATGCGTCCTGTTGGGTTGTGACAATTTCAAATGTTAATAATATTGTTAAAAAATGTTAACGTTTAAAGAAGAGCGTAATTAAGGCGTTGTTGGGTGCAATAACATTCAATAACTCAACTTTCCCGGATATTCAAATCTCGCGAAAAAACATTTTACAGCTTCATAGTTTTTCACACCGATTTGATAAAAAGCAAAAATGGGTTCAAGCAGTTCGACAAATTAAGTAAGTAAACAAAGTGCTCGTTACATAATCAAAAAATTAAATAGACATATACTATGAGAGGATAAAATATAATTTGCAATATTAATGGCATGGTTTTTTTAATCGACTAGTGATTAAATGTTTTATGAACATTTTCTAAAATTATAGGTACCTTTAAAAAAATCGTTATAGCGGAAATAGTCACAATTATGACCCCACTAGCAAATAGCAAAACCGGCTATTAAAACTATGCTCGCTACCGTAGTCATCAACTCATATAAAAGGTTTTTTTACCTGGAATAATAAATTATAATACAAGTCAGACCCTTTAAAGATATCAAAATATTTACGTTTTATTTTAATTTTTAGAATTTTCACAAATTATACTCTATAATTATTATATAATAAATTTTTCGTATACTCGCTATTTAAACCCGTGTATTTATATATACTAGTTGTTTACGATATTCTCCTATGGTGGCAGCACCGGTGGAGAATGCACCAAGACTATAGATACACATTTAGGGAAATTAAAAAGAATTTGTGAATCATAAAATTACATATTATGGTATATAAATTTTACAAATTATAGTATTTGAATATAGTGTCGAACTTAAATATGTCTTGTTATACATATAATAACTAACTTGTCGGCTAGTAAGTAAACTAATTAATTCTGTTTAGTCATTTTAGTTTAGGATAATAAAATATTTCTTGTTTAAATGTATTAATCGCAATATTTCATAAAATTAGGTAAAGGAAAACAAAAACATAAAAATATAATAAAAAGAAATACATTAAAATTACAAGGTAATGAAACTTAATACTTATTGGAGTATATTGAATTAGTTTGAAGTCTAGTTTTGTGTATTCTGTTGTAAAAACTTATAATAATTAAAATCATTCATAAAATTTTCAAAGAAATTTCAAAAGACAACGTAATAATATATTCTGATATCTAATAACAACACACAAAATTTATCATAAACTTTTTTTTATAACTATGTAACAAGTATTTTTCAAACTATATCAATCCACATTCTAGCGAGTTTTCAACTATAGATGAGCATTGAAGAATCGCGTTAGTTAAACTACTCATCTAGTTTTTAACATTGCTATTGAGGAAGAAGCAAAATTAAATGGAGATATAATCAAATTAGTATAATTGATTGAGGAGTGACTGGATGACATGAAGACATGACTTAATTTGTCCTAATAGTACTCTTTAAAAAATTTAATTAACTGACCAATTGTAATGCCATATTATATGTCTAATCAAAATATATATACAGGGGAAGAACTACAGGTTGTTCTTGGCTCTCCCGTAAAATTAGTAAACTGGCGCTTATCAAGTTTTTTACTCCTGGACCCTTCAACTTGAAAAAACCGAAGACACTAACACCGTAAAGCTACGAAACAAAGCAGATTCGGACCTATGTTGATGTAAAAAAAAATATTTTTACGTGGGGAATCTCCCCAGGAGAGATGACACATGTTTTTAGAAACACTCTATGTAGAGTAAACGCCACGAATGTTTGGGAGTGATTCATCGCTTGATGAAGTTAGAATCGACACGCGCGCTATCATTTTTACATTAAAAACGTAAATTTTTACCGCAGACGTAGGTTTTTAAAGCCCGGTCTAATCATCTGCCTGCGCTCCTCTTCCTTATTCTAAAATGTTAGCGTGATTGACAAAGACGATACTATATCGCGTTTCTTTGATTGATTCGTTTTTGTGCGTCAGTTCATTGGTGTGCTTGCAGTGCGACCAAGGGGGCATTCCATTTTATATTTATAACCAAATATATGTTTTGACAAGATTTTGACAGTTAAAACAACAAATTACAACAGATTATATATTGATTATTATATGACTTGAAACACCACGGCACTGTAATTAAGTTTTATGTGACCTTGAACAGATTAGTTCACATGGTAGCGACCGATGAATCACTGCCAAACATTCGTGGCGTTTACTATAATAATCTTCTTTGTATTAATTTTACATGAAATTTATCCTAAACTACTTACATAAAAAATCGTCCAACCACTTGGGCTGGCCGTGGAACTCCACTGCCACGCAGAACGTATTGAAGAACACCAGCATGATGACGCCCCAGTAGAACCACTGGCTCTTGACGATGTGCCGTATCGTGAAGCGGAACCGCTTCTCCGCACGCCAGAACCGCGCGCAGCCACCCTGACCTTTCGTCCTCGACTTCATGTAGCCGGACCGGCCGAAGCCTGCTAACAAAACTTGGATTTCAATTTTGGCTTGAGTTCTGGCCTGGTGTAAGGTCTAGTCGCCCGTGCATATGTGGTTTAGTTTAACGTTATAGTTTTATGCCCCGCAATGGTTTAAGGTTGATTCTCACTACATCTTCTGTTTCGATTCCGTATTTTTGATTGTATTCACGCTATACGTAAGCTTCCGTTCCGTATCAATACCATACTTTTTATTGTACAGGGTGGTCGAGATTGGTATGTTTTAACAGAGAAACCCTATTTTCTGACTAGATAGAGCAAAACCGACATAGATGTCAAGGGCTCGATTTCTGCGACACGTTTAATGGCGTAAACCGCCTGTTGATATTTTCACTGCCAACTGAGATACTTAAAAAAAATTTACCATTTGGAAAATTGCCCATAACTTTTGTATTTCCCGGAATAATAAAATTCTGTAAAAACGTTTTTAAGGCACTTTTTTAAGCACAATCCAGTGGAGTAGTTAGTTTTTTTCTATGCTTGCTCTTTTTGTGAGAAATAATGAAAAATATAATTTTTATATGGAAATCATAGTTGGCTATGAACTTAAAAAATGCTGGCGTTTAACCCTTTCCAACGATATAAAGTTATGGGTATCTATTTCTAAGAATGAGAGAAATATTAGGTTTTTTATCTTTATATCGAAGCGGCCCTTGATTTTGTGTTGGCCTCTTTGCTTAAGTATTTTTTATCACAATTTAATATTCTATATTATTATTTATCTGCATAATTAAAGACTTTTGAGAAGGTAAATTAACATTCTATATTAGTATTAGTAATTACAATTGAAATCTATGCAATATTCAAAGAACAAAACTAAAAAGTATTTTTTGAGTGACGAATATAGTTTTCTAAGTAACCCTGGCGTTTTAATTTTAATTGGTAATACTAATATAGAATGTTGATTTACCATTTCAAATGTCTTTAATTATGCAGATAAATAATATAGAAAATTAAATTGTGATTAAAAATAATTTTAGGCAACTAAGGCAACATATAAAATCATGGTCCGCTTCGACACAAAGATAAACCTAATATTTTTCTGATTCTTAGAAATACATACACATAACTTATATCGTTGAAAAGGGGTAAAGGGGTTTAGGTTTTTTTAAGTTCTTAACCAACTATGATTTCCATTTAAAAAATTATATTTTTTTGTCATTTCTAACAAAAAGAGCAAGTATAGAAAAAAACTGACTACGCCATTGGATTGTGCATAAAAAAGTGCCTTAAGAACGTTTTTACAGAATTTTATTATTCCGCAAAATACAAGTTATGGACAATTTTCCAAATGGTAAAAAATTTCAAAAAGACCCCGTATCTCAGTTGGCAGTGAAAATATCAACAGGCGGTTTACGCTATTAAACGTGTCTCAGAAATCGAGCCCATGACATCTATGTCGGTTTTGCTCTGTCTAGTCAGGAAATAGGTTTTCCCTGTTAAAACAGGCCAATTTCGACCACCCTGTACAATTTATATCGTTACGAAAGTTTTATTTTAAAAATTTCTATCTTTTGAAAAAGGTAATAGATTTAATAAAGAAGTGAAAGAATAAATAACTACCAGCAAAATGTTAACAGAGCTGGTACAAATGTAAGAACTTGATAACGCTGTTTCCGATACGTTTCAGTCTGTCCGTCAAAAAAATGTATGAAAGGAAAGGATACGGAACGGAAGGGGAACGGAACGGAGAGTGTGCATTGTCCTATTCATTTACATTATATAATATTTTATGTAAACGGAAGAGAGACGGAAGATAGCTGATACGCAAGGTATAATGAGAATCATCCTTAAAAACTCGTTATTTTTATTATTATTCCTTGTTGCACCAATATCAGTTAAACACGTTTTGGTTAAATTAGTATAAAGCTCTAAATGGAAAGATTAAGGAAGGAGCACCATACGATCGAAAAAAAAACGGCATCAAAGACGACTGGGGAATGACAATCGATGATAATTTTGACAAGGTCAAGCTCTAGGCGCTTACTGCCAGTTGGACTTACGAAGGTTGTTATTTATTTTTATATTGAGTACACACAATTTTAATTTTTAAACATAAATGATCGTAATATTTGAACAGTTTTAGATCCATAACTCTTTGATCATTTGTAGACATGGTGCAACAGGAAACAAAAAAATATGCCTTATAGTAGGTAAAAAAAATAAGTTAATCAAAATAACAGTTTATTTTTTTAGAATGTGTATATTTCAAATTCTTTAACATTTTACTAAGCTATCACTGCTAAATGATTTGTGTATATTTTATAGTGTTCTATTGTAAATTTTATTAAAACTAAGTTTGAAGGACATGATTTTTATTAAGAAAACATAAACTAAACATTATAGCTTGAATTCTCTGCTATAAAACAAAAAAATAGTATCGTTGATTGAAGAAATACGCAATATACACAACCTTATGTGCGATTTTATGGCACAAAACCTGTTCGAGATGTAGTTGGCGTTACCATCAGCCTGTTCGAGATTTAGTTTAGATCTGCGTCGCTGCGCGGTTACAGCGCACCAGATAAGGAATACTGTACCGTAGTTCTGCTTTGGGTCGACAGAGTGAGTGGTTGCCGGAGACAGTGTTGCCAGAACTACTGATTAAGTCGTAGACGGATTTCTATCATTAAACCAAGAACGTCGTCAGAGTTAGCTTGGAAATGAAAATCGCAAAGACATTATAAAGATAGACCGAACATCTCATTCATAAATACTCGTTGGTAGTGTATCAAACATTCCAATGTGTCAAACAAAGACAGAAGAGACAGAGAAGTCTAAAATTTCCGACCCCGGCAACTAGGCGCATTTGGATTGTTCTAATGGCCACTGGCGTATCGTTTTTTGGAACGAATTTAATTAGTAAAGTAAAAGTAAAGTAATTAGTAAAATTTTTACTCCATATTAACATACTACATTAACACTTTTTCATTAGATGAGTTTTGTTATAAGGTCTAATATAATAATATAATTAATATCCCACATATACTTATGTTGAAACGTTAGTAGGTAGTTTCGCTCCAACGTCGATATTCAATTTAAACTTTCAGTTACTTCTATATAAACTTTCAGTTACTCTTGAATATTTACAGGGTGACTCAGGCATCCGAAACAGTTTTATATTAGGTTTGTGGTTGGTGACTTTTTTTTCAATTTTTTTTAGAATATGGAGGCATTGGTATAGCACATTTTAGACATTTTTGTAATCATAGGTGGTCAAAACATATTTTCAAACTAAAGATGTAGATTTGCCATTAAATTTCCATTCCAAAAATACCTAGGGTTGCCACCTGTCCTTTTTTGAAAAGGACAGTCCTTTTTTGGAATAACTTGTTCTTTTGACTTTTTTTTATTTAAAAAGTCATTTTTATTTACGTATTTTCCCTGGCAGAAGAAGAGAACTTAGAACTTCCCGTTTAATCTCTGAGAAAATTACCTACAGCAAACAGAAATATTCTTTTTGTCCAAATTTAATTAGAGGTGTTATAAAACTTATAAATAAATTTTTCTTGTTTAGAATAGGCAACATTATTTAGAACTTCCCGTTTAGTCTCAAATGATAGTTTAGGTTTTAGTTTTACCTTTTTTGATCTTAAAAAGAACTTTTTGTAAAACTTGGAAAATAAGTTGGTTCAATAATGGTTTTATAATTCAGAAACTCTCTATTTATTTATCTAGTAATGCTAAAACACTCTATTTTAAAGTCGATTAGAGAAAATAGTATGATTCATTGGCAAGTAATGTAAACATTTACGATCTGGTAAAATTGTGATGTAAGAGGAGGCTTAGCTTGCCTACGGCGGTTCAGTAGTAGACTGGCCAGCCGGCTGTTGTGTTGTGTTGTGTTTTGTCATAGAGCTGATATTTGGGGGTTGATAGTCTTTTGACTATAAACGTTGCAAGTACTGTAAGGCAACGGGTCGTTTGACCGGAAGAAAACCTCTGGTGACGTCTTTCCTTCGAGGTTGGTCTGGAGAGTTTGAGGTCTCCCTTGTCTTGTCGATTGACACGATGCGGCGTTGGGGTAGAGAGACTAGTGAGGTACCCCAATTAGCTTATTCGATTGGGATGCGAATCTGTTTAGCGGCAGAGTTGCGTCCGGGAGAAGCCCCTATACTATTTCAAGTGACACTAGCTAGTTGTTGAAGATTATTAACCAATATATAACCGAATGATATTTGAATTAGATGGAAAATATGGAATGGGATATATTGAATAGAATATATCAGTGGCTAGGGGGCGGAGTACCCCCGGGTGAGTCTTACTATTTAACTATCAATTTTATCCAGATCAGTAAATGTTTGTTTTGTTATTTTCATGTACAATGAGAGAGTGCTTGCCAATGACCAACTAAATGGATATTTGAAGTGAATTTGCATTGTGAGACCCGGTTGAGTAAGCCCCAAAAATAACGATTTTACATTTTCAAAATTAGTAATTAGTAACGATTTAGTTAGTTCGCAATCGATAGCTTCCTGTGAAGTACTGTGTAATAGTTGTTTAATCTTGTATTATTAATAACTTCCTATACCTAAAATCAATATTTATTTTAATGAGAAAATTGTGTTTTTTTTGAAAATATAAGACAAGATTTTGACTTTCAAATCAAACTAAGTAGATAGGCGCAAATTTGAGATGTGGCAATGTCGCCTTCTCTATCTCAGTTGGTTTTTACAGTACGTAGTCAACCTCCGATTGTTTGATCGGGTTAAAATGCACAATGTGATATCTGTTCTTACTATATCTATGTTTAACACGAATAAATTTTCAATATATAAACGCGGATTTTTCATCCAAATATATTTTCGTCAAACGTGTTACACAAGATATTACACATTTTAATAGGGCAACCCTGTCGCTTTCAGTTCCACACCGTCTTCGATATGCCTTCGCTGGCCAAATTAGACAAAATAAGTGTTTCATGCGTTGGCCGCAGAACGATTGGTGTCTCCACCGTAAAGCACTTGAGACGTAAGGGGAAATAAAATCAGCCTTGTCACAAATTCGCCCATTAGGTTGCGTTATCTTCCCAATACTTTCAATCAACGACACTACTATAAATATGGCTTTGCTATGAAATATTTTATTTCAATGACACAAACCTTTGCTATTATTTAAGTGTATTACATCATTAGTATTACAGAAAATCAATAGTAGTAATAGTAGTAAGGCCAATATTTATAAAAATATTAGAATAAGAAAAATACACAATATCGCAAGTTTTTGTAGTTGTTTAAATAAAGCTGATCTACCATTCTAAAGTATAAAAAATAAATATAAAAAATTACGGAAATGTAGCTAAAAAGTTAGATTAGAAATAAATAACTATCTAGATTCTAGAAGTATGCTAAAATATAAGTATAAGTTATATGATTCTATAACAAATTCAATCTAAGTTCTATTCTAGAAATGACCTAAATTATCTATGCAGAGTCTTAGTCTACTGTACGGAAAGAATTGTCTAGATTAGAAGGAACTAAAATTTAAGTGCAAAACAAAACAAACGTAATAAGAAAAGCAACACAACTATTATAATAAGTGGGCAAAACATTAAAGCATTTAAAGAAGATTTACTTAATTTGTGAATGCGTTTTGGGGATCCAGCGATTCATAGAACTTTGATAATTAATATTACAGACTGGATTATTTTTAATTTGTGTTGTTTCACTTAATTTTGTGAAAAACACTATAATAAGAAGAAACGTATTATTTGCCCACTGTGTACTCTAGATATGGTAGTCTGTATAGTTTGTGGAAATTACAGTATATTGCAACATCATTTGAAGGTAAACACCATAAAGTAAAATTGGAAATGGAAACACATAACTTTGCCTATGACTTTGCTACAAAAGAAAGTTATAAACTGTAGTATGAAAAACAGGAGATCAAGATAAATTATGCATTCGCCAAGCCAAGAAAATATAACGACTATGTGGAAAAAACTTACAATTATTATTATCGTAATCATAGTAAATCAGCCAGGTAGGTAAAATAGAAATGAAAAGAAAACACTATGCCAAATAATCTCTTTTTATTTTGAGGACACATCAGCAATTATTGTTCTAAATGAACAGAGAAGGCCAGTAGTTCAATAAAAAGACCATATAATGAGCCATAAAAGGAAAATGGATAAGCAAGAATTATTCCCAACAAAGTGCAAGAGGTTATTGGTTTAAGGCTTTATTTATTTTGTTTTTGGTCTTACTTAAGTAAATATGTATTGATTGTTGGTTAAGGGTTTTATATTTATTTTGTACTACTTACTACTAACCTGTACAATGTGGTATTGTTTATTGTTAAAATTATTATATTGTATTGTTGTAATTATTGTATTTTCTTGACATAGAACAGCCATAAGTTTCTTGCATTTTCTTCTTATAGGCCGTAATCGAAACTGCAACATTCTAATAAAATTAAAACTATACATTTGTTTTTTTATTTCTAATATGTTACAGTAATTAAGCTAACAAATTTTCCCAAAACGTTTATTTCCCCATGAAAATGTGTTTCAATTTAAAAACTGATATTTTAATAAAAGATTTGAAAGTAGAATTTGAGAATAATGAGCTCTCTCCGAGTAAAGCTATGATGGTTCTCACTTATGCATCAAATTAGATAGTGATCATGCAATCTGCAAATGAAACAATTTTTAATTTACACCAATAATCAATGCAACTTTGACTAAAATCACTTGATGTAGGCAATATAGATATATTACCAAATATCAGCCATACACATTAACCACCTTCCTTCTTTAAAATGAGCAAATAATGACAAATTACATTTCGTAACATTAATGGTATTTGTATGTTTTAAAAATATGTGAATGCAGATCAGTTTTTAAATATAGCCATATTTCTAAAAATAGTCAAAAACTATAAAAAACGAAATGAACAACCAAAACAGTCAACTACTGTTAGCAATTTCGCATAATAAAATTATTGTCTGTAATAATAGTTCGATTCTCGATTATTCATAATATTCAAAATTCCCGCAAAACCGAACTCTCCGTGTAGGATCCGAATGCTTCCGAGTTTTTCGTGAGTTTTAGTGTCGTCTAAGGAATATTGTATCGTAGTTCTGCTTTAAGTCGGCAGAATGAGTGGTTGCCAAAGACAGTGTTGCCAGAACTACTGATTAAACCGTAGATTTGCGGATTTCTGTCATTAAACAACGAACGTTGCCAGAGTTAGCTATATATCTATATCGCTATATCTATGTTTAACACGAATAAATTTTCAATATATAAAAGCGGATTTTTCATACAAATATATTTTCGTCAGACGTGTTACAGATATTACACGTTTTAATATGGCAACACTGTCACTTTCAGTTCCACACCGCCTTCGATATGCGTTCGTTGACGGAATTAGAGAAAATAAGTGTTTTATGCGTTGACCGCAGAAAGACTGGTGTCTCCACCGTACAGCACTTGAGACGTAAGGGGAAATCAAATCAGTCTTGTCCCGAATTCGCCCATTAGGCTCCGTATCTTCTCAAGATTTTGTTGAGATTGCTATTATTTAAATATAATACATTATTAATATTACAGAAAATCAACAGTAGTAATAGCAATACCATCAATAATTAATAATTATAAGAATATTAGAATAAGAAAAATACACAATATCGCAAGTTTTTGTAGTTGTTTAAATAAAGCTGATCTACCATTCTAAAGTATAAAAAATAAATATAAAAGATTACGGAAATGTAGCTAAAAAGTTAGATTAGAAATAAATAACTATCTAGATTCTAGAAGTATGCTAAAACATGAAGTATGTTATATGATTCTATAACAAATTCAATCTAAGTTCTATTCTAGAAATGACCTAAATTATCTATGTAGAGTCTTAGTCTACTGTACGGGAAGAATTGTCTAGATTAGAAGGAACTAAAATTTAAGTGCAAAACAAAACAAACGTAATAAGAAAAGTAACACAACTAATAGCATAAGTGGGCCAAAACATACATGTTAGGTATCCTTAAATTGCTTTATGATGTATGAATAATAAAAAAATATAAATATACAGTATAATTATTTTGATTAAACAGTTAACCAAATTCTGATGTCATTTCTTATTTACTGTTACCGTCCAAAACCTGCTTGACCGTAGAAATTTCAGGTTACTTCGTATATAATTACGTTATTATACCGGGGGACAACTTAATTGTTAAACAGACAGCCAATTCTTTGTTTTTAATCATATAAATTTGGAACTTGTGTCGATATTTATGTAGAACTGGTAATAGTACCGTATGATCGAAAAAAAAAACGGCGTCCGTATTAAAAAAAATAAATTGGTCTATGTATCTCAGTAACTATTAGCTAATTTGAAAATGTAAAAATACTATCAAATAGCCCTGATAAAGTGGCTATGAGAATGTGCAATTTGTTTTTAGATTTTCTCAAAAGTAACGACAAGAAAAAATAAAATTGATTTTGCAAAAAAATCATTTTATTAATAAACTCAGCAATTCTTGAAAATTTTAAATTTTTTTTAAAAGCATGTTGGCGAACATCTCAAGGCGCAACTTTGCCCCGATTTTACCATGTTCGTATCTATTACGGTTTCCGAGATACCAATGATCGTACTCCGAATGTGTAGCACCCTGTATAGGCATTCCTGTCTATAGTGTTGGCGTGACTATATTTGATCTGGATGCTCTTTCCAGACTCCAGTTTAAGCATTCTGCCTTACGATATGTTGCTACCGATATGTAGAAAAGCCCGATACGTGATGTTATCTGTCTACCGCACTCCGGACATTCAAAAATCTCATTGCTTTGTTGCCTCTTTACTTTTTGGTTGTCGCTGTTAACTGAGTTTACAATTCTTCTCCATTGAGTTCTATTGTGAGCTGCTTCTTCCCACTCATTCCGCATGTTAATCCCCTTTAAGTTTTCGTGGAAAATGTCCTGGAACCACCGGATTCTTCAGAGTTGTCTAAGGTGTCTTTGTTGCAACTTGTTTAATGTTTTTATGTGTCGGCGGCCGGCGGCGGTACGGCATCCAGGTTTCGCTCCCATATAACATGGTGAGGGTTATACCCAAGTAATGATTATAGAAAACCCTGTCTTTTAATTTCCAGAATGCTCCTGAGGCGTTGCTAATCCTGTGCTGCATTTCAGGTAATTGAATTCCGCCACATATTCCAATAGTTCTTCTCCGATTTTTATAGCATTGTTGTGATCGTCCGGGGGAGTGCACATGATTTACCGTCACATATTATTATTTTAAAATCGGAAACAATTTTTTTGACATAAGTATTAAATATTTTAAATAAAAAGCAAAGAAATGGCGGTCTGTTTATCGATTTCGTTGTTAGATTTAAATTATATGTTTAAACATAGCTACAGATACTTTCAATTACTGTATTTTTTAGAATATAGAGCAATATATTTGTTTCAAACAATATAAATACATTTTGTTACTGTTGATTTCTTATATTATTATAATAAATTCAGTAAAATTAACTAAAATTTATATGCAAAAACTAAAAAAATTATCAGATTAGAACTTAAAGAATAAAAAAAAGCTTCCTACTTATTATGAAATGCAAAGATAAATAAATTAATAGACAATATACAGGATGGTCACAAATTAAAGTAAATATTTTGTGTACAAATAATTTATAGACGTAAAAGATTATTCTTTATAATTTACCACATATTTGAATTTTGAATATGTATATCTGTTCCGTCGATTTAAAAAAAATAGAATAATACGTTTTGTGCCCATCTGCTGTATATTAAAAACAAAACCAAACCAAATAAAAATATAAAAAAGTCAAGAATAATAATCTAATTCATATATTTTTACATATTTTTTCCAATCTGCTGCGTACCTTTTAGCTTTTTGTTAGATTCTGTAAGAAACACTGGGAATTAAAAATTAACGTCAGTTAATAGGGTAAAATAATATACAGGGCGTATCCAAAAAGCTCTTTACCAATTTTTTGAATTAAATTGCTGTTAAATTTGGAAATTTGGATTTAAAAAAAACATGATTTAGTTAACAATATGTAAAATATACCAAACCAAACCAAACTAATTCTACTGTGTTACATTAAATATGACAAAACATTATTAATTTGTGACTCTTGGTAACTGTCAAGTTTAACATAATATAAATAAATAAATGAAATTTAATTTGTACAGACAGAGTTGGAGGTTACAAGGTGAAATATAATAGCTATAAAGTTATAGTAAATATTATATTTATTACTATTTTAACAATATAAGATGACGTAATCACATCTAGGATATACCTTTCAGGTTATGAACTACAAGGCATCAATTTTATTGTTGATTTCAAGTATCATTTGTATGTCGGATTCCCTAGAGCTCAAAAGTAGTGATGGGAAAACCGATTAATTTCAATAATCGGGTACTCAAGTTTCAAGCGATTGCAATAACCGAGTGATCGCTCGAGCGAAATGTCACTCGTATTTACAAATACGGTTTTTCACCCGTTCCTTGTTGTAAGTACTCGTTAACGCCAAGTGCCAAGCAGTAAGGTGCGTGCGCAGTGATGAATGGCAAGTAGCAAGCGGCGAGCGATTCGCTTGATCGCTTGATTTAGTTTATTTCAAAGCATTGTCGATGTAGGTCGTAAAATTTTGTCCCTCAGATACGCTACGGATAAATATATATATACGGCGTCGTATAAATTTGCTACCTGCAATGTATGTAGAAAATTCGCTCGGCTTTTTATCGAGTATGTCACATTAAAATCGGATTCCAATTTATTTCATTCTAGGATTGCTTGCGTTCGTCGCTTGGTATTCGTCACTTGCATCGCTCGTTCATAATCGAGCAATGTCGCTCGTTCATAATCGAGCAATGTCGGTTATTTCAATAATCAAGTACTCGAACGAATTTTCGCTCGAGTTATCCCATCACTACTCAAAAGCTAAGGGCCATCACAAATAAAATTATGTCATCTTTTATATCATCAAAAGTAGCCAACTATTGCGGCAATCCCAAACAAAAAACACTATAAACTAGAAAACAGAGACACAATATACAAAAATATACAAGTATACATCTCTCTTGATTAAATACTTTCATCGCTATTTTGAACCAATAGTAGGTAGTAATGATAATTTGAACGGTATTTCTTTAATAAGTGGCAATATTAAAATAGGACAAAAACTAAAAAAAGTGGTTTAAAAATTTGGATAAAAAAAGAATAAATAATAAATGTGGCATAGTTAAAACAAATAATAAATAGATAAGTTAAAACAGACCAACCTTAATAAGGATATAAAAACATTTTTGGATAGCCCTGTCTGTCGAAAATACAATTATTTCTGAAATCATGCATAAAGTCCTTCTCTATGTTGTTACACATTAGAAACAATTAAAAACAAAGAGGAAATAGATACTATTAAGTCCTAACCTAAGATCTTAAAAGACAAAGAAAGTTTTTAAATCTTTTAGCTAGCTAACAAAATTATCTCTTTTATTTATAACGATTTAGAGTTTCGATAACTAGCTATTGAAAGTTGAGAAAATTTAGTTAGAAAAATATTCTTAATATCGCAATCCTCTTACCATCATCAGCCACATCCTCTTCTTCTTGTTCTTCTTCCGTGTCTGTGCTTTTACTTTTACCGATTTTCTTTAATTTCTTCTTTTTGGCTGCTCTTCTTCTCGCTTCCATTATGTGCATCTTTTCTTCTTCCGTTGTTCGCTCCTCAGCCAAGATTACTTCCTCTAAAATATCAATACAATAGATAATTAGATATTTACCATTAATTTATAACAAAAATAATTTTAGAATAATAAAATCAGCAGAATACAGTTGTGGTCAGGACCATTAGTGCTACAAAAGCAAAGTGTTTTGTTGAATAAGCAAGGAGTATTGTAGTGATTGGATGTTCTATTTAATACTACAGAAATAATACGTTGGCATGGTAAATACTGTTTACATCTCTATTACAAAAACCTACACCAATGCAAAATCTCAGTATAGCCCCACTAAAGTAGAAAACTTTAAAAATGTCCATCAAAATATGTTTTTTGGAGTGAAACATCATTACGCGCGCTGGGAGTAAAAATTCAAGGCCGTGACACACCAGCTACCGTACACATAGTGCACACACAATTTTTTTTATAAAGTTTCATTGAATTTAGAATCGACGGATATAAACTTCTTGATAACTTTTTACTCGTACACAAATTTAAAATTTAGCTAATCACAAAAATTACTTGATACTTTGAGATGTAGATCTGCCTTTGTTGTTAAAATAAAAAGAAACAACTCTTTAAAATGTAACCTATTTATTTATTTAAAATCTTTTTAATAAACTAAGGTTTAAGAATAATAAAACTATAGTTAAAAATTAGTTTCATTAGTGCTGCATTCATAAAAGTTTTATTTCTGCATAAAGACGTACCTTACGGTTATAAACTTTATCGATTCTGAAATAGTAACGAAAAATGGCTGAATTAGCGAATAAAAGTCGTAAGATACGGGGACAAACAGACTGGTACTTGCATAGATAAGATTATCCTCTAAATGTATTGGTAATGTTAAATACCGTCTACATATTTACTTAACCTTTAAATTATTTATGCTTATTTTTTTACATTTACTATAAATTGTTTGTTTTGAGTTGTTCTTTTCTTTCTTTATTTTAAATTTATGATAAATTTAGGTTCTATTGGGGGTAACTCTGACTTATATTTTTAAACGAACTCCTGATAATAAGTGTATAAGTGAAGGAAGTGATAAAAAATACCACACTGTCAATTGAGAGTGCTCTAGCAACACGAGGAAAAACTCTATTATTCAGCAGATAAAGCCACAAATAGAGATATATAGACACCAAAGACTCTTGCTAAATTGATGGAAATGCAGGTAGGTGAGTCTAAGGCTTGAGTGTTGATGTCAGAAATTTCTATATTTATCTTAATTTGCGCTCTATGCAATAATCTATAAGTTATATTGATATTAAAAGAATTCCTATCACAACAAGGAGAAAATCTGGAAAAATTTGATAACAAAATAATGACGTTTAAACAGTTATATTTAAACGTATCTTTGGTTGTCAGAAAAAGTATTGCGCATAAGTAAAATGCTACAGAGAAGTTGATTCCAATTGATTCTAAATTCAGTACAATTTGATATAAATAAGCGTAAAATATAGTATCTAAAATTCAATTTGTCAAATATCGAGTATACCATTTAATATTTATACATATGTGTGTTTTAAAGTTAATTGATATGGATATATCGAGTTTTCAAGCTAAAAGTAGAACAGGTAAATAAAGCATAAAAATAATTCGAGTCACTTGAAAACCAGCCAAGCAGAGTTTGGCATCATTATAGTAGAAAGTGAGAGTTGTTGTTTCAAAAGTTAAATAGAAATTCTAAATGTAGGTTGTCGTTAGAATAAGAAATTGGATTCTTAGCATATATTTCTTCTAAAATAACAGTTTTAAATGCATGAATAAATATAAATTCTTGTTTTATAAATAGTTTAAACTGGAATTACATTTTTTATTTTAAGACTTATTAAAAAAGTTAATAAATTTAACAAATATACAGGGTGCGTCTTAAATAAGTGCAAATATTTTTAGAGGTAGTATATGTCGACCTCAGAAACATTTTTATGTTTTTTTTTAAAAAAAATAAATTAAGAATTTATTGAAAAATATTTTAGATTTTTTTTAATTTTTTAAAGTTTTTGAGTAAAAAATTATAATATCTTCATAATATTGCAACATAGGTAGTAGATTAAATTTACAAGAAAGAAAACCCAGAAAAGATGCAGTGGTTTTCAATATATAACTAAAAAATTTTTTTTTTCTTAAATTTTCAAAGTAAAATATTTTTGAGTTACATATTTGAAAATGGGTAAAGAGAAAATATATTTCTTTTATCGAAATCTACCAGCCCTAAAAATATTTGCACTTATTTAAGACTTACCATATATATATATATACACTTGTTCATTCAGCTACAGGCTTTATTTAATAATTTTATTTTTAAATCATGCTTTAAACATAAATATATATATATATATTTCCTCTGTAGAGATTTAATATCACAGAGATTTCTAAAACACCTTGTAGTAATAATAGTGAAAAAAAATCTTTTGTACAAAACCTGCCGTTTCTGTGATGTGAATTTATAACTTAACTGTTCATAGCTCCATTCCAAGATATTAAACTTTCTCAGAAACTTCTAATGATAAAGATAACACTTTGTAGTAGCAGAAGTGAAAAAAAAGTATACGTACAAAAAAAATTGTTTCTGTGATATGAATTCATAACTTAATTGCTCATGATTGACCATTTATTATATAGAAATATTTATTTTTAATAATATAGCGAAATAACTGCAATAAATCTAATTTTTAATAGATTATAATTATAATTATTTTACTCTTTGTTCTCTTCTAAAAACGTATACGAATAAAAAATGTTTCTGTGATGTGAATTCATAACTCAACTGTTCATGATTAACCTTTTATTATTAAGAAATATTTTTCAAAATAGCTAAAATAAGTCTAATTTTTAATAGATTATAATTATAATTATTTTACTCTTTGTTCTCTTCTAAAAACGTATACGAATAAAAAATGTTTCTGTGATGTGAATTCATAACTCAACTGTTCATGATTAACCTTTTATTATTAAGAAATATTTTTCAAAATAGCTAAAATAAATCTAATTTTTAATAGATTATAATAACAATTCCTTTATTGGAATAGCTGGTATTATATGTTGTGTTCTCTTATAGATGTACTAAAATACTAATAACATTATTAATAACTGGTTTTGTATTTTCAATTGATAACTAGATAATATAGGGGATATATTCAAAAACTAGCATTGTACTATACTACTACTTGCCTGCTTTACATATCCACTGCACATAACCATTGAGTTCTCGTTCTAGTTGTGCTGCTCTTCTTAATTTTAGAAATTCCTGTCTGTTTTCTACTTTTTCTCTTTCTTTAGCAAACTCTCTAAAGATAAAGCAGTTTTAGCGATAATACTTAAAATGGTTATAATAAATACGACTTATATTCAAAAAATATTAAGCTGATGTTTAGGTATAGTATGGACACAACATTAATTTAAATTCTATGAAAATTTTAAATCAGCCAAATTATCACGATTAAATTTTATTAGAAAATTTCTTTTTTAGGTTTTTATTTAATTTTAGCTTGTGTCCCACACTATATCTAACTAGCAGAATATTGTGCACGAAATTTCTATATCTACCTCTAACTTCTTTAATAAGTTTATATACTAAATTATACGATACAAATATATCTATTTTCAATATAAACTAAAATACTGTATGCTCAAAAATTTGTACCATCAAGCCCAATTTCATTATCTGTCATTTTACAAATTTTAATTTTAGCCTTACAGCAAATACCCTGAGATAATTTATAAGTGTTATAAAAATAAAAAAACCTGCATCTGTTATCCATTTCAAATAATTTCCAAAACTTTCGTTAAACTGTTTCTTTGAGCGGGTTCTATAAAATTTAGCCCGTCTCTCCACTCTTAATCTTTCATTTGAGAACTCTCTAAATAAATAAATAAAAAAAGGAAAATATAGAACGCCTATTATACCCACTAGTATCTGTACAACTCTCAAAGAAATAAGTAAAAAAAGAGGCTGCATAATATATAAATGATTTTGGTTTGTAGTCAATTGCAACAGCGCTATAATTAAGATGATATGGAAAACCAATAATTAATTACCAAGTATTTTATAATGCCTTGCTATTAATAAATAAATAATCATATTAATGCTACTTAGCTGCAGTACTGTATTAAAGCAATAAACTATAAACTCATCACCAAAAAACTAAAGTAACTGTATATTTTGGTTTGGTTTGGTTTGGATTATACTGAAATAAACTATTATAGATATTGTGATGTTAGTTTAGCACATTAAATAAATAGTATTGTCGATAAATTTAAACTATAAATATTAGAGATTTCAATTTAGGTTTTTATACCGTAAAATATGGCAACAATGCAAAATATAAAAATTACAAACGTTGACAGTTGTATTAACAAGTATTTAAGAATCTCTCTAGGTTTACTTATTTCTTTAAAGTTTTGCGTCCATTGAATTTTATAAAATTATACGTATAAATATAAACTACTAAAGAAAGTTCTAAGTACTAAACGAAATAATAGATAATAGTCTAAGAGCTAGCAACGTTTTCGAGAAAGTATTTTAAGAAAGCTGGCTCTTTGATATATCTTTTACTATGCTCTCTGGAACAGCATGCGGCCCGTCGGGCTGCCGATACCAGTTGTGTTCACTACTGCGAATCAGAAGAAGATCCTATATTTTTTTTATTTAGTCCGTTAAATTCTAGTATTGAACATAAATCGAACAAGTCTCCAAAGCGGTGCGCGTAGAGTTTCCGAATACGAAACGAGGATTCAGAGTTCGAGACCAGGTCAAGGCAAAAACCTTTTTATTTTATTTTTGTTTATATTCTGATAGTAAAGTGTTAAATATTTGTTTTTTTTTGTATCGCCAGAATTATTTATTACTTTACTATCAGAATATAAACGAAAATAAAATAAAACAGTTTTTGCCCTGACCCGGTCTCGAACTCTAACTCCTCCCTTCATAGGCGGAACCTCTACGCGCTGAGCTATTAGTAGGAGGAGCGCAGACTCGGTCGGTTTATATTCAATACTAGAATTTAAAAGACTAATAAAAAAATATAGAATCTTCTTTCAATGCGCGGTAGGGAACGCAATGTTTACCGGCAGCCAGACGACCTGCATGCTGTTCCAGAGAGCATAGTAAACGATATAGTACAGGGTCCGGCAATAGTGTGTTGAGCATCTGTAGCTCCTAGAATAAAAAAACTTGGGAATTTTGTTTAACTGTAAACCTAAAGTATTTACAAGGATGTATTTCAGGAAAATATTTTAACTTCTATAGGGTGGCTCAAAAAAGTGTGAGTGGATTGGGATTATTTTTTTTTAAATGGAACACCCTGTATATTATTGCATTTTTTACTTCCTTTCAGATCACTTTACATAATCCTAAGATATGAATAAATATATTTAGATAGTTTCAGAGATATTCATAAATAAATAAAAAAATTATATTTTTCAAGCTTCAATAAAAAAAATATATTACAAATACAAGAACTGTCCTGAAATCAAAACTATATTAGGTATTTACCTTAGATGGTTTATACTTAACTTTAGTGTAAATATCGTAATCTTAAATCATACAGGATGTTCAAAATTCTACGCCAAACTTTCTAAAATATAAAATAATTTTTCTTTGTTTTTTTAAAAGGAACACCCTGTATATTATTTTTTTATTAGATGGAGAATTAAAAAATGAACATTTTTTGCATTTAAAGTATTTCAAAACTTTTTAATGGTTTCGCAGATACACGCAGTATTATTTCATATGGCTCTCTCAACGGTAAAATGCCAGAGAAAATTCATAGGGTGGCTTTGATAGAAATTTACCTACTATGGAAAATGCCATATGAAATATAAAACCGCGAATATCTGCGAAACCGTTAAAACTTTTGAAATACTCTAAATACAAAAAATGTTCATTTTTTAATTCCCCATCTATTGAAAAAATAATATAGAGGGTGTTCCATTTAAAGAACGAAGAAAAATTATTTTATATTTTAGAAAGTTTGGCGTAAAATTTTGAACCTCCTGTATGATGTTTCGATTACCATATTTATAGCAAAGTAAGTATAGATCATCTAAAGTAAATGTCTAATATAGTTTTGATTTCAGAACAGTTCTTGTATTTTTAATAATTTTTTTAAGAAAGGCTGAAAAATGTATATATAGTAAACGCCACGAATGTTTGGGAGTGATTCATCGGTCGCTACCATGTGAACTAATCTGTTCAAGGTCACATAAAACTTAATTCCAGTGCAGTGGTGTTTCAAGTCATATAATAATCAATATATAATCTGTTGTAATTTGTTTTTTTAACTGTCAGTCTTGTCAAAACATATATTTGGTTATAAATATAAACTGGAATGCCCCATTGGTCGCACTGCAAGCACACCAATGGACTGACGCACAAAATAGAATCAATCAAAGAAACGCGACATAGTATCGTCTTTGTCAATCACGCTAACATTTTAGAATAAGTAGGAGGAGCGCAGGCAGATGATTAGACCGGGCCTTTAAAAACCTACGTCTGCGGTAAAAATTTACGCTTTTATGTAAAAATGATAGCGCGCGTGTCGATTCTAACTTCATCAAGCAATGAATCACTCCCAAACATTCGTGGCGTTTACTATATTTTATTTATTTATTAACATCTCTGAAACTATCGAAATATATTTACTCATATCGTAGGATTATGTAAAGTGATTTGAAAGGAAGCCAAAAATGCAATAATATACAGGGTGTTCCATTTAAAAAAAAAATTATCCCGATCCACTCACACTTTTTTGAGCCACCCTATAGAAGTTAAAATATTTTCCTGGAATACATAAAACATACTTTAGATTTGCACTTAAACAAAATTCTTAAGTTTTTTATTCTAGGAGTTACAGATGCCCGACGCACTATTGCCGGACCCTGTATATTAAAGAGCAAGCTTTCTTAAAATACTTGTTTTCCCGACGTTGCTAGCTCTCGTACTAAAGGAGAATGTTTAAAACAAGTTATTGTAAGCAGTATCGACTTTTCATAAATATTTTTATTTTGCCGAAATAAAAATTGGATTTTGTTATTAATAAAACTAAATAGAAAAAACATTATAAAAATATGCATAGTAAATATATAAGTTTAAACTTCATTGAAAATAACAATATTTTGAATGAAGTATTTAATTAGATACAGTTTTTGAAAAATTACTTGAAATGTTCTAAAACCCCGTCTGTAAAAAGTAATATCACAGATCAAGTTAGTCTGTGGTAATATCAAAATTACTGAACAATTTATACAGTATGTCCCCGGGTTGTCTTTACAAGAGCAAAACTTTAGCTACTTTTTACGAAAAATCCATTCTTCATAAACATTTACTGTGTCAGAATGAAAAATAATAAACATGTTAATATGTTTGCACGTTTAATTAATAATTTTATGGCAACTTTTGATATAGAAAATTATTTTTTCCGTTCAATTCCTCAAAACCACGAAGAAACATAAATACTACCAGCTTGTCCGTAGCATTAAAGTAAATAAATTTTGTGCTGCTTTAATATTTTAAAATAGTAAAAGGATATGAAGTAATCAAAATTATAATAATCGTATCTCAAAAAATTATATTTAATATTTAATATATATTGGCCTAGAGTCTCCTTGGTATTTTTAGGATATAGGATTTTATTATTAGGGCTTTAACCACATTATATTTTTTAACGGTACGAAAATCTTTAAAAGTATTATCGTTATTAGACATTTTAGGACAAGCAAAAATCTCAGTGAAGAATGTCATTTTCCTCTTGTAAAATATGATACAGGGGCATAGAGTAGATCAGATAATTTTTCTCGTTTTAAACATAGGCTTTAGTGGGTTAAGTAATATGAAATACTTAAATATATAACAACTCACCCGCTGAGAACACCAAGAACTAAATTTAACATAAAAAATGAACCAAGAACTATTAGAGGCACGAAGTACATCCAGTTGTAGTAACTGCCTACAGCATCGTTCATCTGCAACAAATAGAATTATTATATTAGTTACGGACAAAATAAATCTATATATTTTGAATATTTTACAAAATTGGGGTATACAATTTCAGAAAAAAATGCTATAAATAAATTATAATTCAAAAAATATTGAAAAAAACAACAACAAAATGGTTGATAATATTTTTTATGTAGATTTAGCTATATCAAAATAATTGACAGCGAAAATTAAAATTTCTCCTGATAAAGTTGATTTAATTATAATGTGTTTGTGTTTTTTGAAGTAAACCTACTCTCATCATTGTAGCTCTAGTATCTAGTATCATTGTATCTCTCGAGAAAATGTAAACTTAAAACAACGGCCATAGAGGATAAAAATGGAACACTTTTGCGGGAGGCAGGGAAAATCTTAAATAAATGGACACAGTACTGCGAAAAACTTTACAGTGATGAATTGCTGTGATCTGGAAAGACAATACCCGGAAGACAACAAGGATGATGTAGAACCGAACATACTAAAGGTCATCATTCACCAAATTTTCCAACCATGTGGTGATAGTAGCCATACTTCATAAATATAGAAAATGTAGAGGAATTTGTATAAGTATCCAAGGAGGATGCGAAAAGGAAATATAAAAGTCGAAAGGCCACGGCACGAGGAGCCATGAGTAACCTCACAAAAATATGCAAAGAGCGTCACATTATTAGAAACAAATATCATGTTAAGGAAATCCCCCATATTCTTAATCTTCCTGTATGGAGCGGAATCCTGGATGATGAAAACATCAGACATATGAAGAATAGATGCATTTGAAATGTGGTATATCTGGTATCTACGTATGTTACGAAAATCATGGACAGAGAAACGCACAAATGCATCTATACTAAAGGAGTCAAAGAAGAAGAAGGTGAAAGACACATTGTCTACAATATATCGCCGAAGAATACTGAAATACTTTGGACACACTACAAGACGCGAGGGAGACAACCTAGAAAAATTAATAGTACAGGGAAAGGTAGAAAGAAAACGATAGAGAGTTAGATCGCCTGTTAGATGGATAGACCAAGTTAAGAAAATTACCAATACACCACTAGAAACTCTACTAACTGAAGCAATGGGCCGACAAACATGGAAAACGAGAGTAAATGGATTATTTTGGAAATACGTGCAACTTGTACGCGTATGCGCAAAGTAAGGTCCACGGAAAGACAAACCTATTAAACGTCTCATAAGTGCAATAAAGGTTTGGAAATGGCATGTCGTGATTTTGGAGACATATTTTTTAATGCTAAACTTATTGCGTTGATTTATCCACGTAAGTATATATGATCTAGGAGTAGTACACAAACGTAGTGTATTATCGTCCGTTGACGGGCTGGAGTTAAAAATATATGGATGAAACGTGGCACGAAAACGCTATAACCAATCATAGGCGTCGTCGGACCATCGTATCAACGGATAACGGACGCATGAAAATCAAGCTTAATTGGGTGAGCTGCAGGTTTTAACCGAGAATCAAAATATCTGAGAATCATAAAGTATTTTTTTCTTGGTACATATTCGACTATCTTGAACAAACTGTAAAAATCAGATCTTACCCAATATAGAATTGATGTCCAGCCTTCCATGGTGATGCATTGGAAGACTGTGAGCATGGCAAATCCGATATTGTCGAACGACGTGATGCCGTTGTTGGGTCCCTGCCATCGTTCCAAACAGACGCTGTTTCCGTCCCTACACCAATTGCTGCCTTGCGATTTGGCTTCCGTTTCGTTATCGGTATTGCAGGGCACTTCTTCCTCGTTCTCTTTTACTATTTGATCTAAAAATGACAATATTGAAAAATAGGTTTAATTAGAAATAGGACAGCAGCTACTAAATTAAATATGTTCTATAAAGTAAAATATACAGAGTGTTCCTTAATTACGTTCTAATATTTAAAGAGGTGATTCTTGGACCTATTTTAAGAAAAAATCTTCATATAAATGTATGTCCTAAATATTCGAACTTTTCAGATACAGGGTACAGGGTAGTATTTTTTTTCAAAATATCTTTAATGTTTATTGTTTTATTATAGTTTATTTATATGTTAATATAATGCTCGTATTCTACGCATCAAAATGCATATTTTTAAGTAAACAATATGTATCGGACGAAAAAAATCAAGATATAAAAAAATTGTTTAGAAATGAATGGAGATTTTAAAAATAATTTTTATTTTAAGAAAAGTCAGTGGTGTACCAATTTATTCTTCAAAAATATTCCATGCAAAACTCGTATGGACGGAACTAGTTGAAAAAATTAAATTGTTTATACACCAAAAAAGGAAAAATATAATACTTTGATGGATAGAAAACGTGTGTCAAGTTTAATAAAAATATCTACAAATAAAGTCAGAGATATTAGAAAAAGTATATTAGTAAAATTATAAAATTTTACCATCCTGTATCTCAGAAATTAAGATGCTGTCTCAAGAATATGTTCAAGAATCATCCCCTTCACCCTTAAATATTAGCATGTCAGTAAAAAACACCCTGTATACAGGGTATTTCAAAAAATATGTACTATCTGTCGAGGGGAGGAGATTCGTCACGTAAAAATGAGATTTATTTTTCATTAAATTATCAACATAGGTCGGATTCCGCGTTGTTTCGTAGCTAAAGTGTGTTAGTCTTAATATTTTTTCGGTTTATTATAATTTTCCTCCAAGTACTTTTAGTGTTTCGAATGAAATTTTCAAGGTAAAAGTTACTATAAATGCAAAAATTTTAAAGCTAAAAAGTGTCGACATATTCGCCAGGAACGTGCATATGGGTTATCACTACAATATTTTTCTAAAAAAAGCATGTATGCCACTGACTTTTTTTCCTTGTTAACGAAATAGTGTAAGCAGTTTAATGCCGATTGAAAGTTGTCTTTTGATACTTTGACGGTTTCGGCCTCCTTGATGAGATAAACGCAATTTTATTAATTTGCCCTGATTCAAGTCTAATAGTAACCTTTAAAAAAAATATCATTAACTTGCGAAAGTTTTAAATAAGTATTTATTCATTTCTCATCAAAAAATACGAAAAAATGTTCCTATGAACATGGATATGGAAATTCAATGTTAAAACTTTTTAAAATTAGGTTTTTTGTTTTAATCGTAAATACTATTATTTCTGTATTTGAAATTGCTGTAGGTTGGACTAATAGTAATAATATTTCATAGTAAATTAGGTAAAATATATAATTTATTAATTTTGTTTCCATTAATTATTGTGGTTAATAAAATTGTGTTTATCTTAGGAGCATCAAGGAGGCCGAATTCGACAAAATATTAAGAGAAAACTTTTAATTGGCATTAAACGGCCTAAAAATTTTTGATATCATCAAAATAAAAAAGTCATGGTTTTTTTAGAGAAATAGTTCAGTGATAACTCATATTATGCACGTCCCTGATGAATTTATCGACACTTTTTTAGCATTAAAATATATAGCAATCCAATAAAATTCAAAAATTCAAGAAATTATGAATATTTTACAACCTTTAACGGGCCCCCCAGAGCACCGGGCCCAAGGCCCGGGCCTTATGATAATTGCCAAGCCTGGCACTTATATTAATTTTACCCTCAACATTTAATTGGAATCACTCAAAGTAGTTAATCACTCAAAGAAAATTATAATAAATCGAAAGATTATTAAGACTTTGTAACACCCTGTAGCTATAAAACAAAGCAGAATCTGACCTATATTGATATTAAAAATAAGTCTTATTTTTACGTGAGGAATCACCCCAAGAGAGATAACACATGTTTTTTTGAAATATCCTGTATAGTCACTTGTGGCCCGCTATTTTAATTCAAAAATGTATTTGTTCCTATCAGATCTTGGATGCCATTAACGCCTCCTCTAAAAAGTCTAATACAATTTTTGAGTTATTTTTTAATGCCTCTTCATAAAAGTCTAATCCAATATTTGCATAAAACCATCTGGGGAGATATTATTTGACCTTTTCAAAATTTGCCTGAAATTTCCTATGTCCCATGTTCCGATGCACCACACGGTATATTTTTATTAGGTTAATAGCTTTTCCGATAACGTCAATACTTATTAATGCTTACCTATGTCGTACAAACTATAGCACGTTCTATGTAGTGCTCCCGAGTAAAATTCCAGCCCTATAATGGCGAATATCACAATGGCAAACAATACTAATAAACCTATTTGGAGCAATGGGGCCATTGCTTTTATGATGGACTTCAGCACCACTTGTAAACCTACACAGATATAAAAAATGGTTAGTACAGAGAACAGTTTTCTAAAAAAAGTATTTAAAATAATAGTTAGCTAATAACAAATAAACTTATCTATCAAGAAAATCGGTTTCAAATAATACGTTTTTTTGTATCCAACGAAAAATATAGTTATTTTTGCAGGCTTTTTGTATATTTTATATCGAGTTTCATTAGTGTACATATTTGTACTCTGTACTGTACATATTCAACTCACAAGAGATATAAATAGTATTAATTATTTTTTATTTGGTTATTACATTCAACGGCACGAAAAAGGGACACATTAAAATTTTGATGTATTTTAAATTTTAATATATTTTGTTCTAATGGACCAATTTTGATGATTTTTTAAAAAAATTGTAGCTAAATTATTTGGCTTTTTAATGTCTCTTTCTAAATTAAAAATGAAAGTTTCCATCTGTCAATTATACGAGGGAAAGCAAAATGTTAATATTTTGGTGAAAGTTTGAAACACCCTGTGGAATATATTAACAAAGCAGGGAATTTAAAAATCATTTTATATCATTTAGGTACATCTTTTCCCGATAGTTTGTTTTTTGATTCATTTCATTAGCTTTATTTTTGTTGGAGATATTCGCTACAGCAATTTTAACATTGATTTTGGGTCCTCAAAAACCCAGTTATAAAAATAGTGTTTTTTGTTTTCGTAATGTTACTGTCATTGAAAAACCATATTATTATTGTTTATTGACGTTTACTCTAGTAGAGATGGTTTTAAGTTCTGAAGTATCGGCTATTGTTTCTTTAACTGATCATGGTAGAAATCAACTTTTGGACTTAAAACTATATCTGCCAGACTAACAGACAATAATAATATGATTTTTCAAAGGCAGTGAAATTACGTAAATCATAAACACTACTTTATAGTCTATTGACTAGGACCAAAAGCAAAGGCATAGTTTTAATGCGAAAAATACAACAAACTGTTAGCGTCTTCTTCAAAAGCGAATATCTCCAAAAAAAATAAAGCTACTGAGATGAAATTAAAAATCAAACTGTTAAAAAAAGATACACCTAGAGGACAAAATGTTTTTTAAATTCCTTGCTTTGTTAACGTACTCCACAAGATGTTTCAAACTTTCACCAAAATATGAACATTTTGTTTTCCCTCGTATAATTGACAGACGGCAACTTTCATTTTTAATTTAGAAACAGATACTAAAAAGAAAAATAATTTAGCTGTAAATTACATAAAATCACCAAAATCGGCCCACCTGAACACAATATCTAAAACTTTAAAATACATGACAATCTTAAGGTGCCCGTTTTTAGTACCGGTGAGGTATATTTGAAGGAAAAGGGGAAAAACCAACGATGTTTATTTTATAAAAAAAAATTAAGCAATCAACTCGGTAATCAACTTAGTCTATTGAGAATATCAAGTCTCAAACACATGGTAAATTTTAATTGAATATAACATAAGATGTACAGGGTGAGTCAACGATAGAGTAAAGTCCATTATCTCATTTGTTTCGAGGTTTACAAAAAAATATTAAATATAAAAGTTATAGAGATGGTTAAGATACACATTTTAAAATTATTATACAGTATACAGGGTGCTTCAAAAAAGTGTGGCGAATATAACATATGTTTTTTTAAATGCAACATCCTATTTTTTATTTTATTTTTAGATTCTGCGTAAAATTCCATAACTTTTTTATATATATATATTGTTATATACCTAAAATTAATAGTTTTTGTTATATATTTAAATTTGTTTAAACAAATGTTAGATTGCAGTGGGTTAAAAAATTGTCAATGATGGCATTGATTCTGAAGTTGGACAACTAAAATTTGATAGGAGAATTTTATAGAGACATAGAAAAAAAACCTTTTAGTTAGATGTTACCGGGTGTTCAATATGTATTTAAGAATTTCAACTACTTAAAATTAGGGAATTTCAAATTTTTAAATGGTACACCCTATATATTATCATTTTTTCTGATAGATTTCACTAAACTCTTCAACTTTTATTAAGAATGTCATATACCTATTTTTATTAGTTTGCGATTTATTCCAATTTTTTCTATTTTTACCCATATTTTTAATACAATTGCGCTATAACATCATAGTTGTCATGACAAAAAGTAATAATTATCACAATTTCATGTCTGTTAAGCAAGTTAAGAACAAAATTTGAATTTCAGTTTAATTTGTTGTAATAAGTATAAATGGTAGAAATAATAGTTACAGATTTTCTTGAAATGAATTAGTCAATGTGATTGATATACAAGCTTAGAAAACCACATTTTTTGATTTTGTACTATATATTATATAGTACTTTGCTAAGTACTATAAGGGTAGATGTATATTATCTAGAAAATATCTTCAAGTGTGTAATGGGACGGTTTCGCGGCAGTTGTAATATTGGCTTTACCAAATGAATTATAAACCAGAATTACTACGAGAAAAAAACTTTACTGTATGTCGAAGAAAATTTATATATCAGTAGTCTTCAGCAATTAGGTAATCTAGTATTACCCTAATCTGTGGCTATTCGCCCCGACAAAAAATCCCAAGTGTCATCTTTCATAATATAGAAATACACCAAGAAACTGCGATTTAGTTTATTTCAGTAAAGTTAATTAATTTTAACTAATACCAGCAATTGTAACTAATTATGAAGCTACTTGTTAAAGGTAAGTAATAAATAGTTTTGTTTTGTCATGTCAACTATGATTTTATAGGCTAATTGTATTGAAAATATGGGTAAAAATAGAAAAAAATGGGAATAAATCGCAAACTATTAAAAATAGGGATATGACATACTTAATAAAAGTGTGTCACAGTTGTGTCAAATCTATCAGAAAAAATGATAATATATAGGGTGTCCCATTTAAAAAATTTGAGATTTTTTAATTTTAAGTAGTTGAAATTCATAAATATATTTTGAACACCCTGTATCATTTAACTAAAATATCTTTACATATATCTTTTTTGTCATCTCTATAAAACTCTCCTACCAAATTTACTCCAACTTCTGAAACAATGGCACCACTGACAATTTTTTACCACACTGCAATTTAACATTTGTTTAAATAAATTGAAATATTACAAAAACTATTAATTTTAGGTATATAACATTATGTATAAAAAAGTTATGGAATTTTACGCAGAATCTAAAAATAAAATAAAAAATAGGGTGTTGCATTTAAAAAAAACATATGTTACAGCCACCACACTTTTTTGAAGCACCTTGTATACTCTATAATAATTTTAAAATATGTATCTTAACCATCCCTATAACTTTTATATTAAACATTTTTTTGTAAATCTTGAAACAAATGAGGTAATGGACTTTGCTCTATCGTTGACTCACACTGTACAAATAATATAACGCAAACAGTAATAATTTTTTTTACCTTTAACATAATATTTGACGTAACCAGCAACATTAAATCAGTTTTCACTGTAAAGTAAGTTTCGTGACATCGTATGTCTTCCTCTTACCTTTTATTTATAATATAAACTCAGTTTTTATTTTTCTTGTGAAATAGTTTTTCCATAATTCGTAGAGTTATGATACAACTAGTTTTTGCTTCTCTATAAAGAAATATATTGCCTAGATTATATAAATTAAAAACTATGGAAAACTAAAGCATAAAACTAAGCATAAGCATAAAATGAATCCTTAATATTACTTATTTTAAAAAATAAAAATGTCTATAATTAATTAGTAAATTCTTATAGAGTTTGTATTCTTGCCACGAGCCCTCCTTTTATATTAATTATTCACATTATCACTCTTCAAATACGATCAAATACAATAAACCATAGATACACCAAAAGTTATTTGTTATTAACTAGCTATTCTTACAAAGAAGTTTGCATGTTACTTGGTTAATGTGTAAAAGCAGCTTTCAGTACTATTGCAAAATAAAAACTATCATAGATATGATGTAGTTAAATATTGCACTAAAGATTTCATTTGTATTATTGCTATTTTTCAAATTTAAAAATAAATAATTTTCTTTTTTTATGAATAATTATAGGTACCTTATGATCGAAAAATAAACATTGGCATATAGGGCCTTTGAAATGGCATTCGATAAACATTTCTGTAACGGGATTCATATATTATGTTGTTTTATAATGTTTACTTTTTCCTATAATATTCAGCCTGTATTTTTTCATCAATTGTCATTTCAAAGGCTACTGAGACGCATTGTTTTGTCGATCGTATGATACATTTTTAGCTATTTATTATCATGCTTTCTTAATAGTAAAATATAAAACTTTTGCATAAAAATGACTCCATTCTACTTGGATTTTGTTTGTTTTATACTTAACTAAATTACTTTAAAACGTTTATATATTACTCTATTACATTTATAGTATATTACTGCTATATACAATAATAGTGGCGGTTTAATGTGTTATGTGTAAATGTTAAAAAATAATGTTTATATGATAAAACAATTACTTTAATACTTTCCTGTTCGATAAATATTACCAAAAAACATAAAAACTCTATTTGCTACATGGGCATTCCATGTAGCATTATTAATATTTCATTTCAATTTAAAATTTTATGTATGATTTGAAATTTCAGATTCAATTATTATAATTATTTAAATATATCTTTTCTGTATAACATAATAATTATAGTAAAATTTATTCACTGGACTGGTATTAATCAAAACTGTTGTGTATGTTTAAAATATTTAACATAGTTAACAGTAATTTAAATAATTTATATATAAATATAATGTATGTACTTAATTATAGTGTATTGTGTTATAATAATACCTATATTTAATCTATATTAAAAAAGCTTGGCAACTGAGTAAAAAGTAGAAAATAAAATCCCAGTAGTACACTGGGACTAATATTCTAGTAAAAACTAGATAGAGAAGAATGTTAACAAAGGAATAGAGATAGTATCCGAAAAATCCTAAATTATATATATTAACATAAATGAGAGAAAATTCCAGATAATTTATTATATCTTTATAAGAACT